CCTTTGCTCAAGGTCTGACATATTAAAATTTAATTGTTTGCTGGGAGACTTTCCTCTCTGGAGCTTGAAATTCTCTTTCACGGGTATGTCATTAAGTTCAGAATTCAGTTTCTTTAGTTGTAGCACAGAGGCCACCAGATCCTAAAAGCCTTCCACTGTTTATGGCCATGTGGCCCTCTACACATATGCCAACTTGCCTCTTAAAGAGTAGAGTGATCAGCCCATCATTTTTTTTCCCACACAACACAACTTACACCATGTGGGCAATTATCTAGTTGTGTTCAAAGAGCTCATTCATAGTCAAAGAGAACAAGTCACAAAAGTTTTATACATATCTGGATGGAAATCTTGGAGACATATTAGAACTCAGGCCTTTACTTCCCATTCGTTGTCATAAAAGAAAAGGACTTTCATGAAGGAAGCATGCCTAGACTTGTCAATGGTCTCCAAAAGAGAACAGAAAAAAAATACATAAACATGTCATTTCTCATTGAGATGTGTGTGGTGTATGTGTGTGGGAGGGGGCAAGTTGAAGGAGGTCCTGAAACAATAAAAAACATGGCAGCTCATATTCAGAATTATAAGATTAAAATACCTGGAAGATTATTGACAGTTTCTAAATTGAAATGTTTCAAAGTTACTTCTGCCTGAAAGTTATCTCCATGAATGTGGTTAAATTGGGCCAAAATCACCTTAAAAATAATTATTACCATAAGTTACAGTTCATTAAGACTATTTTGTGAGTAACTCTGGTAATGTTTCTGAATCTCCATCGTTATGGGGTCAGTCTCACTAAATATGGTCACCTGCAATAACAAATCTTTTGGTAAAAATCTATTTGGACTACAAGTATTTAGACCCAACCTAAATTTATTAGCCTGAATTCAAAGAGGTTTCTTAATTCTGAATCTGTTTAAAATGGGTATTAGCTAAAATAGCTTTGTTTTTCATTAGAGGAACATTTCCATGAAAGACTAACCTTAAATTACCTTTTTTATTTAGCTAGTCTGCCTAGGAGAATGGGAGGTAAATAACCACACTGTGCTACTGAGTAATTTTTATCTTTTGTTTATATTAAGTAGTCACAGCAAGACTATCATTATTGTAAAGAAAATCACATTATTCTATTGTTAATTTCCAAGCATTGAAACAGAAACTAATGTAAGCTTTTAGCTATGATAGTCAAACATATATTTCCAAATAACATTGATTTGTCATTTAGGGTTTTTCAATTATTAACTACGTCATCTGTTTTCTTTGTTTTAATTTTATTTCATTCTATTCTCTGTGGGAAGAAACCACTAAGAGTTGCAGGAACTTGGTCTAACAAAGAAGCTTTAAAATTAGTATTGATCATTTTCAATGTATTTAATCCATTTAAATATATTTTCAGAATCCAGTTATCTTATATGCATATTATGTTGACATTTTTCTTGACTCTTCAGAACACTGACATAGATGAGAGGATCTGGGCCCATTTTCCTCATTCTGTCTTCATCATCTCTCACTCAACTTCAGACAAGGCTCTGGTTTTCTCACTGATTCCTAGATGACTGCACCAGCTTTTCTGAGCCTTCCTGGGTCCTTGAAAGAGTGGTTGTCAACATCCTGATGACTTTTGCACAAGGAGTCCTTGTAAGAGGGATGATGATGATGAAAATAGCCTTTCTAAAATTTTTCCTATATCCACCTTCTCAACACATTCATAGGTGAATCTCTAGGTCGCAAGAGATTTTGCTCAAGATTCCTGGAACTTTCTTCACTTGTTGCTCACCTTCTTTTTACAACTCCAGCCTATCAATATTCTTCCTTATCTTATTCAAATTTCAGCTTCTTTCTGACCTTGATGGACTTGACATTTGCTGTTGATCAGCTCTCTTTAAAGATGTATTTCTTTCATTCAGACTCATAACAAGCTCACTAGCTCAAGTAGGAGCCTATGCTCTAATTTGGTTCCATGGAACTAACGCATTACAACAAGCAGGGACAGCCCCAACAAATAAAAGAAGGGAGAGTAGAGGCCTGATAACATAAGGGGTGGTTTGGGAGATAATGCCTCCAAATTACTTGGCATAACTCAAATGTCTACCCACCTAGTCGCTGATGAAACACAGCACAATTTCTTAGAGACTAAAGTCATTCTTTGGGTGCACCTAACAAAAGAACACCAGGAGGGGAGAAATTATCTTTTCTCTTTTCAGTGAGAGCCATGTTGTGGAAACAGAAATTTTAATTTTTTTTTATTATGAGAGACTACAGGAAAATTTGATTCTAATAATCATAATCTAAGTATTTGCCGACTTTGGGCTTTAGCTATATTTCCCCCTAGCTCTGTTCTAGGCTAACCCCAGTCATTACATGACTTAGATTGGATCCCCTATAAACTTTTTCATACACTGATAATTGCAAGCAGTTTTATTAGGGGCTAATTTCTGGAGACAAAACTGCAAGATTGGAAAGAATGAGAAGACAGCCATTAATGAAAAAACCTGAGACATTTGTCAGTCTTATGGTGAATTCTGTAGCTCTTCACTTTTGCCCCAGACTGTGAAAAGAGGCAAAGACTTAGTGTTTCCAATAAACATAATCATTTAGTTCTTTGGATCAGTCACCACATTATCTAATATTGTCACATTAAAAGCAAAACTGCATAAGTAGCCATAATTCAACAGTGACCTATAATTCAGCAACAATTATGTGAAAAATTATGTATTATTAACTATCATTAAATGTGTATGCCATTATGACATATAGTCAGTGTCTTGGAAGAAGGAAGAATTCCCCAAGATGGTTCACATGAAGAGATACCCATTAACTTTAAAGTTATTGACAGGTGAAGGAACAATTAGGATTGATGAGACACCAAGAGACCATCAAAAGTAGGATGCAATTAACTCTTTGACTTCGGACAAGGATCAGAGTGAGAGTTACTGAAGCCCAGTGTGAACTGGAGTCTTGGAGAAAGGTCTATGCTAGGAGAGCCTAGTCCTGGAGATACATAACTATAACCGAGAAGGAGTTCCAAGAATCTTTCTTTCTTCAGATTTATTTATTTATTTGAAAGAGTTACACAGAGAGAGAAGGAGAGGCAGAGAGAGAAAGGTCTTCCATCCGCTGGTTCACGCCCCAATTGGCCACAACGGCCGGAGCTGGGCCAATCTGAAGCCAGGAGCCGAGAGCTTCTTCCAGGTCTCCAAAATGGGTGCAGGGGCCCAAGGACTTAGGCCATCTTGTACTGCTTTCCCAGGCCATAGCAGACAGCTAGATTGGAAGTGGAACAGCTGGGACTTGAACTGGCGCCCAAATGAAATGCTGGCACTGCAGGCAGCAGCTCTACCCACTACACCACAGCACAGGCCCAAGATCTAAGGATCTTGATCATATGCTGGTGCCGCCTGTTACAGAGACATAATGCACAAACTTTGGTCTCCTGGGACAAAGAGCAGGATGAGAAGAGCAAAGAACGATAAGAATTGGCAAATGGAAAATAAGCAGCATAGTTCGCAAGTAAAATATAGATTGCTATTCTACCTATGAAACAAGCCATTCTCTCTAACATATTTGATAAATAATCCCCAAAGTAGAAACATAATAAAGAAAATATTCCAGCTAAGATTCCTAAATCATAAGACAAGAGAACCTCATCTACTCATTTTATTTGTCTTTTCTCTTTAGAATAAGCCTTTAGTAAAAAATCTTGAAAGAAAATTATTGCTATTTCCTAATCTTAAGTTGTAACTGCCAGTCCATTTTGCTTCTTGGGGAGGTACCACACAAAAAAATACTTTTTTGAGAATACAGCCATTGGAGATACTAGAGGAGTCATCCAGGGAATTAACTGAAAGAAGTAATTATTACTGAATATTCAATTGCTGTGTGGAGCTTTTGTAGCAAAACACCCATTAAGTGATAGTCACATGGTTAAACTTTATACATATTTTTCCAAATTTACCCACCCCCTAAGGGACAAATTACCAGCACAGTTCTGAATAATGTTATTGTAGCTATTAGTCTTTGTGTGCATAATTCCCTATCCATGATGTTTACAATTTTCTCCTTAGTGTTTCTTTGAAAAGTGGCACAATTACAATATTTTCATTATGCTATGGCTTACACAGATAATTAAACAAATAAATATGCTCTTATACAATTCATTTTAAATGTTCCTAATCTTTGTAAAACTCACTTATCTTTGGATGAATTAAGCTATTCTGAATACCTGCAATTTTTATTTTTTTTTAACAAAGGCATCACCTGGAAGATTAATGGAGCTCATCAATTTAAGGTATAATTGGTTATTCTCTTTCAATAACGTTGTCTGAAACTAAGCTATTGCAAAATAATAACAACTTCACAGTTTTACATGGAAGTGGTAAGAAGAGTGCATTTTCACACTGGAGAGATTAAAAAATAGACTTCTAATAACTGAGTGACTTTATCACTGAAGTGTTTAATATATTGCTGGTGAAATATCTCAGATATTAGATGTTTAAGAAATAGTCTTCTGAATATGCTAAATCTACTAAAAACTGGTATTAAATTATTACAAGGAAACTTCCAAAAAAAATCTAGATTTTACTTTCATATTAATAGAATTTTAGAGAAGTCTTTCAAAATAGCTTTATTTTCCAGTATGGAACTTGAGTCTCAGAAATATTAGTGACTTCTCAAGGTCTTGTAGCTGGTTTCTGCTAGAGACAGGCTATGAAGATCAGTCTCTTAAACACCACGACTGTATTCTTTCTGCTATTCAACTTGCCTCTTCCTCTTGATACTTTCTCTTTGCATAAACCCTTTTTGAATTTCAACTTCATGCCAATTATCCCTTGGGGTTCTGGAGACAAATGAGTGAGACATGGCACCAGCTCACAATTTAGTGAAGAAGATAATTACATGAATGATTAATTGCTATATATTAATGTTTGTAATACATGCATTGAGAACACAGAGTGGGGAGTATTTAGCTCTCTCCCTAGATTTTTTGATTTCTTGTCCTCAAGTAACACACTTATGAAAACCTGAAATGCATTAGGCCCCTGTAATTTGCAAGCATGGTTTCTGCTTTCTTGTACATTGTTTCTGTTGGCTTTCTGTGTTTTCCTGCCATGTCCCTCAATCCTGCTTTTGGCTCAACTGCCTCATACAATAGTTGCTTAAGTGCTTGCATTTCTAATTTTTGAATCTCTAGATCAGCTTATAGCTCTAGAAGTAGAAGCTGCTCTCCTGAAGAGAGAATATTCACAAAGTCACTGTTTTTTTCATTTGTTTCCCAAAGGATTGTTTTGTTCTTTGTATTCCCTCTTTTCCCAATCTCCAAACCTATCCAACTCCAAACTGGAGAATGGACTTTCACCGATTCCACCTGAACATGATACCCTCCTGACTCAAAGCACCTAACTGACGGCATTCAAAACCATGATATGCCTAACCACTGCACCAAGAATTATGTATGTGTGATGGTTTTAATATTAAATGTCCCCCCAAGTCTCATGTTAAAGGAATGGTTCCCAAGTTGACACTAAAGAGGGATGGTGAAAATATTAGGAGATGGGTCTTAGTGGGAGATTCTTAGGGAATTGGAGGCATACCCTTAGATGGTAATTCTTGTGAGAGGATTGTTATGAAAGCCTGACTTTGGGCTCAACTTCTCTGCTTCTTGGCTCACCATGTGTCCCCTGCAGGTACTCTGCCATCTATCATGGGGCATTTACCAAAACCTACTTCATTTAAGCTTACAGCTTCCCTAACTGTGGGTAAAATTTTGTTTCTCTTTCAAGAACTTGCCTCAAGTGTTTTATGTGGTAAAGGAATACCTCAAACATGAAAGCTATAGCTTCCTTTTTACTTCCATGTAAAAGCCCATAGAAGGAAAAGAGAATGAGTGTACAAAAGAAGAAAGTATCTCATGAATGTTTATGGAAAGTTGTGGAATCAATTATGAAAATACCATAGCCCTAAAACCTGTTTCTTCATAGCATTCAGCCAGTATCTGCTATCACACCCAGGCACCTAAAAGCTCTCCTTCTCAGTAAGATTTCTTATCTTTCAGAGATACACCCTCTGCCCCACATCCAGTAAGATTTCAAAGTGATTTAATTTCTTTTATGTGTCCATCTTGAGTGTGTTGTCCTGGGGATGATTGTTGAAGGCCAAATCATCTTCCCTGATTCTCTAGGAAAACTCTGATATCCTCAATCACTAAGAATCATAAAGTGGGCATGGACAGCAGATAGACACAGTACATCTGCTACAAAACACTACTTTTTCTTGCAATATCTTGCATTAATGTTAGATTAGATCCCACCCTCTGTCTTCTCACAATAGGCAGATGTTATCTTCATACAAGTATCCTTATAACTGTGTACCCTTGCAAGTTGGTAGGTAGCTCAAAGTTAAAATTGACTACTTTTACCATAAATATTAAAATTGATTTACATTTTTACTTCTTTCAATTAATTATGATTATGTACACTTTTCTGTAGTGACATTTACTAATGATCATTGAAAAATCTATTATGTGAATTTCTGTCTTTAGCTTCAAGAGATGTGTGCCTTTTGAGGGCAAGAAGTAGCAATTGTTTAAGCATTGCACATAATCATAAAACGCTGTGGAGGATACTCTTTAGGAAACTTGTAATAATAATACTAATTTCAAGCCTAAGAGAAACAGCAGGCATTGGGACTTACCTGAAAAGGTCTCATCTCATACAGCTGCAGCTACATGTGATAGAAATGCTAGGAGCTGGCCTGTCAGATCAGTGCTGGTCATTGCTGATTTTGCTGTCCTCATTGAGGACTGAATATGAACAGATGATGCTTCATTTCTCCTATTTCAAAGCCCTTTTTCATTGAGGATGAGAGCCTCAGAAGTCCCATTGTGCCCTAACTTCATTAACACCACCTATAACCTTCACAAATGTGCTGTTGTCACACAGTCTTATTTATTGATTCAAGGGTAAAAGCAGAGACTTTTTTGGATGTGCATAAAGTTTCTATGAAGATAATTTCATTAGCTTGTGTATACAGACCTGTCATTATTCAACTATTGCTTCAAATGTTTTCTGATTTTCCATCAACAATATATCAAGATTATTTCACCTCAGTTATTTGGCTTTGCTCTGTTGGCCTCATTTAACTACCTTTGCTTTTTGACCAGTCCTTTTTGATGCTTATATGCAAAATCAATGTTTGATGACAGATACCTTGTGTTCACTTAATATGTGAATTTTATTCTTCTTTGCTTTTTTAACATTTCAACAATTTGCCCTCTAAAGCTTTTTTCAGTTCCTGTTGCATGTGCGAGTATTCTTCCTTCATCGATCTCTTTCCTTCCTGATAGTAAAAACAAACAAACATGTGAAGTTGCATTTGGCAATTGTATGCCATTGAAAATATAGCTTTACTTATTTTTTTTTTGTAAAATTCAAGAAAGTTTCAAATATTCCTTGCTAATTTCATGATTCCTTTGTGTTACCATTCCATAAGCAATTTTACCATTTAGGTTAGAAACTTTAAATGCTGGTGCTAGTGCTGTGGCATGGTGGGTAAATCCATCACCTGTGATGCTGGCATCCCATATGATGCTATTTGAGTCCTGGCTGCACCATTTCCAATCCAGTTTCCTACTAGTGGCCTGGGAAAGCAGAAGAAGATGGCCCAAGTCCTTGGGCCCCTGCACCCACATGAGGGGCCTGGAAGAAGCTCCCGTTGTGGTCACCAGGAGAGTAAGACTGCAGATAAATGATCTCTTTCCCTCTCTTTGTATAACTCTGACTTTCTAATAAACAAATAAATATTTTTTTTTTTTTTGACAGGCAGAGTGGACAGTGAGAGAGAGAGACAGAGAGAAAGGTCTTCCTTTTGCCGTTCGTTCACCCTCCAATGGCCGCCTCGGCTGGCGCGCTGCGGCCGGCACACCGCGCTGATCCGATGGCAGGAGCCAGGTGCTTCTCCTGGTCTCCCATGGGGTGCAGGGCCCAAGGACTTGGGCCATCCTCCACTGCACTCCCTGGCCACAGCAGAGAGCTGGCCTGGAAGAGGGGCAACCGGGACAGAATCCAGCGCCCTGACCGGGACTAGAACCTGGTGTGCCGGCGCCGCTAGGCAGAGGATTAGCCTAGTGAGCCGCGGCGCCGGCCGACAAATAAATATTTTTTAAAAAAACATTTTGTGAAGCATGAAATCAAAGGTTGAAATAAAACAAAAGATTAAGAAATTTGAAATAAAAAAATTAAATGCTATTGCAATTACATAAATATTATTTTTGAAATCTGAACCTACTCAGTTTTAAAAATTGTACTAAGATAGGGCAGGAAATAATATGATTGAGAAAGAAAAGAAATAATTTTCTTGGAGATAACATTAATTTGCAAGTCACATGAGTGCTTTGGTTAAGATATCACTTTACTCAGAGTTGTATTTGGTAAAAATGAGCTTGAGTTCTTTTCTCTTTCATTTTATTCTTTTCACTCCAAATATGAATGAAAATCTATTATATCACTAGAGAAGCTTGGGGAAAAACTGTAGCAGAAACCCTTTGCTGCATTTTGGGAATCAAGAGTAACTAAATAATGGTGTATTCCTTCCATTAAAATTGTCACCATCACCTTCACCAGAGACAGCATTTCAGACTAAAAGAGAATTAATGTCCAGTAATTGTTGGAACCTTATTTAAATGTGACTTTCAAATATCTTTCCCAAGAGGAGCACTTAAAAAGATCCATCAAAGCAATAGTGCTAATAACCTGCCATGGGACCTGGGCAGTAGGTTAAGAGACTCACCTCCCATTAATTAGGTGAAGGATCCATAAAATATGTGGAGTGCACCTGAGCCCAGGATTCATTTGCTGAAGACTGATCTATCTATGAGTGAGATGATATTGGAATTATCAAGCACTGAGCCAAAGGGAAAATTTAAAAAAAATGCCAAAGTCATAGATTTAAATATTGTGTAATTGTTTTCTCTTAAAAAGCTAAAAAGGGTATCTCCAGTGGGATCATTCTGGCATTCACTAAAAAGCAAAGAGAGTTTCTGAGTGTGCCTGAGTGTATGTATGTATCTTAGAAGTGATAATCCATATGGATTAGGGAGCAATTTCTGAGAAGTCCTTCATCCCAGCAGCAGTCCTGCATTTCTGTTTCCTGGTCCCATGTCCCTATTTTGCCTTTATCAACAATACCCATGAGTCACTAATAAAGTTTTCCCTCTTTACCTTGCAAGAGTGGTCCTGCAAGTACTTCAGGGAGGCGCTCAAGTCCATGGCATTGGCATTGCATTAATCATTCAGTCCCTTGGGGTGTGGGTTTGAAGGGACAGAGTGAGAGGCATAGTGAGGGCAGCAGCTTAACACAACAACCACTTGCTTTCTCTAGCACTGAGAACATCAAGCTTATTCTTTTCAAGATTTTTATTTTTGCTAGAGATGTATAATCTTCTTCAGCATTTATGCGGAATAAAATAAGTAAACCACCATAATGAAACATTTTTATTTTATTTTATTTTATTGTTGGCTAATCCACTAGAGACAGATATGAGGATACTTCAAAAGTTCATGAAGAATGGAATTAAAATATAAACGTGTCTTGGTGACCAAAATTTTTGAAATCTATGCATATGTTTTCATGAGCTTTTTGAAAATAAAGTTGTCTTTTAGTTCCAATTTCCCATGAAATTTTTGAAGCATTCTAATAAATTCTACATGCAGAAACTACCATTTGATAACTCTGAAAAATACATATGATCAAGTTAAGGACTAAGTTCAATATCATTACTTTGAAAGATATTTGTAACTAAGTCACCTAAAAATCAAAAACTCTTATTCCTTAAGGAGAAGATGTATAGGAAATGTTAAAAGAATAAGACATAAACTGACCTCCTGGGTTTGTCTTCTCCACCTCAAGAATGTTGTTTTGTTCAGAGTCTCCACTATCTTTCTCTGAACCCCTCTATTTCCAATTTCCTCAGATTCTCAAAGGACACAAAGGACCTTTATTTTAGTAGGAAGGAATGGCAGAATCCTTTAGGATCAAATGGGTCCTTTGACATTCCTTCTGCTCTGTGGAGATCAGTTGAAAGAGGAGGGTAAGAGTAACACAAGTGTCACCAGTAACCACAACAAATGACTTGAATTGTCTAACAAGGCAGTGTGGCCATCATGATGGAAGGACCTGTGAGTCAGAAGTCAGGATGTGCAGAAGCGGTTTCCTCTGTCAATTTAGATTGACTCAGGTTCATGCAAAAATCAATTCATGCTTCTCCTGAGGCACTGGCTTTTGTGGTGATCTGTGTTCTAAATTAGCATTTGCAGGGCTCCTTACTCTTTGCCAAAGGTATCTAAAATGGAGCTGCACTGACTTTAGTAATTTTAAAGACATGAAGATGCCTTGGGACCACTTCCTTTTACAAAATTGTCCTACAAATTTTTGAATTTTGTCTGTTGTCATTTTCAGAATGACAGAGACAGTCCTTGACTAAACTGTTGTCAGGCTCCTCTCAGTCCCCTTTCTGGCTGGGTTCCCACCTTGAGTTGTGTCTCTGAGCTTAGCAAGAATCTTGAGTTAGTGAGAATTCTTCACCCTCAATATCTTAGTGCCCTGGCCCACCTTCAACAAGAGTCCTTTTGAGTAGGTTTTCAAGAATCCTCCCTTCCACCCCCTTGATGGCTCCTTTCAGGAATTCCCCACTTATTGAACTCTCACTCTGCTCCTTGTCTACAAATCTCACTTGTCCATATTAAGTTTGGAGTGGCGGGCCGGTGCTGTGGCTCACTAGGCTAATCCTCCACCTTGCGGCGCCGGCACACTGGGTTCTAGTCCCGGTCAGGGCGCTGGATTCTGTCCCGGTTGCCCCTCTTCCAGGCCAGCTCTATGCTATGGCCAGGGAGTGCAGTGGAGGATGGCCCAAGTACTTGGGCCCTGCACCCATGGGAGACCAGGATAAGTACCTGGCTCCTGCCATCGGATCAGCGCGGTGCGCCGTCCGCAGTGCGCTGGCCGCAGCGGCCATTGGAGGGTGAACCAACGGCAAAAGGAAGACCTTTCTCTCTGTCTCTCTCTCTCTCACTGTCCACTCTGCCTGTCAAAAAAAAAAAATTAAAAAAAAAGTTTGGAGTGGCACCTGGTCTCTGTCACTGGCTGCAAAACCCACATCGCAGTCACCTTCTTTAATAAAGTTTTCCTTAGCATCTTTAACAAGAGTCTGTGCTGAGTTCTCTTTAACAAGTCAAAAGCATAAATGGAGTTGAGTGTAACAAGTTTACACCGTTGCCTGAAGGAGATAAGAAGTCTTACTCTTGTCTTCACAGAACATTGAAATTTTTTGGATGTCAGGTCAATACTATAGACTGGGAATCTAAGGTGATAAGTCTTTTTATATTCGTAAAATACACCTTCCCACAAAAGGTGGCAATGTTGAATTTTACCTGAGACTTGTACTTATGGAAAAGATTGATTGTTAAAGGAATCTTTTGTAAGGGAGAAAAGACATTTTCTTTTGCTTGAACTAAGGTTCATGATTGAGAGTCCTATGAGAATAAAGATAAATTAATAAGAAAGTATACAAATTTATTTAATATGTTTCATATTATATGAAAGTCTTCAGAAATGAAGACATATTCCCCTCTCCTCAAAAAAAAAAAAACACAAAAATTTGTGTATTTTTATGCAAAGTTGGATGAAATGAATACTCATGAGTACTCAGACAGAAGTATGATGAAACAAAAGGAGTATGATCTAATGATACTAAAAGGTCTGCTTGCCTTTTCTTTCAGATTCTTCTTGGCATCTCTGTATCTATGGAAATAAGGATGTTCCTTTTGTCCACGTATAGGCAGGGTACCTCTGTAATGAAGGTTTTATGACCTACTTTAGAAGAAGGTCAGAAAATACTTTAATGACTTGCTTCTGGGGAGAATGGCAGGAGGTCAGAAAGACCTTCCTGCTTCTACTGTTCCCTCAAATGTCAAGGTGTTTTATTTTGGAGTAGCTTGTTTGAATCCCATCCTGTTCCACCTTTCTGTTTAAAAAAAAAAAAAGTTTACTGGGAAGAACCATATGACAAGGTTCACTGCTGCCTTCTTTCTTTATGAGAGACCACATTCCTCCAATTTCCCCCTCTTTGTCTCATCAACAATTAGCTGAACTTATAGTCACTAGTCACTAGGAATACAGTACTTGTCAAACAAAATTTTCTTAAGATTCCCTCCATCCTCTTGGATCCTGAACCTTGGCCCATTCTTAGCCTAAGCTAGTATTCAAACCCTTCTGGAATATAGGAAAGTTGGCTAGCCTTAATGTAGTCATACTACTTTTTCCTTTTCACATTCTAACCTTAGGACTAGCCACACATTTGCAATTGCAAAAAAATACAACTTTATTTCATTTTTATATTATAACTAAGGAAAGCAAGTTGCTAATTTTGTGGCTAATGAAAATGTTTATTCAAGCAAACAAAAGGGAACTAAAAACTCTAGGAGCTAACCATAGGGAGGTGACAAAAACAGTAGACTACGGATAATGGTGACCAAAACAGTAGACTACAGATAATTCATGACTACCAGCCAAAAAGCAGCCAAGTTCCATAGCAAAGAAGGCAACACTTAAGTAGTGTCAGTACAGTCTCTTGAAGCCTATTTGACAGTCTACTCCAACTTCTGTTTTTCCTTTAGAAGTCTTCCAGTCTTGGGCCTAGGTATCCTAATCTATATTCCAGATTTTTGTCCCCATAGATAAAAGAATTAAAAGCAGAATCATTCATAAAATGTACAAGTGAGCAGGATTTATTTAAGAGAGAGAATGAACATACATTCACATATGAGTGTAGACTACCCTATGCAAAAAGACACCCATTATGGCTGGACCAGAGAGATGCCTTTGAGTAGAAAGGGGGAAAGGAAGCCTGCAATTGTTCTCCAAACATAGTCAAGTATAAACCACTATTGGTTTATACTATGAGGTAGGAGGTGGTACCTTAACTGAATAAACAAGCAGGGTGGAGTTTCAGCATGAGTGAAGTTTTCTGGGATATTTTGTGGCACCTTCATATGGAGTTTAACTTTCATGTGGCCATCACAGTGTCTCCTCCTTCCTGATCTTGTATGAGACACAGATGCATTCTGGGAAGCTAGACTTTTTGATTGACAGATGAAGGAATAAAGTTCAGGGCTGACAAAAATTTTAGCTCTTCTACCCCTATCTCCCTGCCTGGTTTTCCCATATCAGTCTTGTTGAAATACAAACTGGGAATACCATATCTAGCACTAAAGAATCTACCTTCTCCTGAGTTGTCAGGAGTTGTTCCCTTACACCAACCTTCATCTCTGGTATATTGACTGCCAAGTGCTGAGCAGCCAAGCCTAATTTTCACTAGTAACATTAGGGTGTAACTTTGTCTGATCTGCTCTCTAATCCTATCACCCTTTCATTCCACCACCCACACTTGGTTCTATCTAGCTATGTTTACTCCTCTCTAGAAAAGAAAACCATTCTTAGCCTCACTCTTAAAAAGCTTACGCATCTTAAGCAAGAGCATTCTTCCTATTGCAACAGTTCCTAGTTCCTCTCCCCCTATTATAATAGTCCCATCCTCTTATTGAAGTAATCCTTTTCAATAAAGTCTTCATCATTAAGCCTTAATTTGTAATTTTTACTTGGTGAAAGCTTGTATGTTTTCTCTCAAAATAATTTTTTATTTATGTTTTACTAGGCAAATCACTTTTCTATATGCTCCACATGAAATTTAAATACCTGTTTTATGTATCAACTAACTTTATGTTGATGCAGAGAAAAGAGTCAACCATGCAGTTCTCTCTGGGGTTCCGTTTCCTATAACAGGAATGACCTATGAAGTAAACCAGACAGAGGAGGAGCATGTGTTATTAAATCCACCCTCCTACCCCATTTCTTCACCTAAGATTCTTCAGAACTTAGGAAAACCAGGCAAGTGCCTAGCTAACAATGCATGGACTATTTAACAAATTTCTAAATCATTTGAATATCTAGAATTTATGCAAAATGGGAGATAATTCCAACATAGCATTGCTTGATATGGGATACCATCTACTTCTTTTATTCTCTCTCTCTTTTTTTTTTTTTTTTTCAGTGATCGAGAGTCTTTATTAGACACAAGATGGGGCTTCCAGTTCAGGGCGAGGACAAAGTGGGGTTGCTGGGGGTGGGCCGCCGGTGGACATGGGAGCCGCAGGCAAGCCAGGTCTTATCCCACAGGGCTGCAGGCACCTTGGGCTGTCCGGCTGGGGCTGGGGTGGGGAGTGGGGTGTTGGAGGACCAGGCAGGTGCAGATTGCTAGGGCTCAGCTCATCTTGCCATCAGTCCCGGAAGGTTTCTCTGAGGAGGGAGCCCAAGGCAGCTGGGTGAAGCAGGTTCTCCTTTTTTGGGCTGGTACCCCATGGGTGACTTCCACAGTCCTGGGGCTGCCTCCCCAGTCCTGTCTTCAACCTCTCAGGGCAGTCACGTCAAGCCAAGGGTCAGAGAGAACTGGTGGTACTTGCAGCTAGACAGATCTGGGTTAGACATTGGGAAAGACTTCCCAAACCAGGAGAAAGCAAGATCAGGAGATTTCTTGGCAGGAAAGAACTCAACTAAGAAGGATGAAAGCTGGCAGGTGTGTGGTGCCTGCCATGGCTGAGACACTGCTTGGGGCAACCGCACCCCACATCACAGTGTCTGGGGTTCAGGTCTCAGCTCTGCTTCTGATTCCAGATTCCTGCGGGTGCCTACCCTGGGTTTAGGTGGCTGGGTCTCCATCACCCATGTGGGAGACCTGGTTTGGGTTTCTGGTTCTTGGCTTTGGCCTGGCCCAGTCCCTTGTTGCAGGCATTTGGAGAGTAAACCAGATGGAAGATCTCTCTTTGTCTCTGTCTCTGCCTGCTCTAGGCCAGAGAAACGCCAGCTGCAGAACTGGCCATGCTGCTCAGCCGCCTGCCAGCTGTGCTCAGGGCAATCACGGCCCCCACCTCCTGTGGCCCCCATCACGATGCCCCTCAGCACTTAGTATTTGCTACTGGACACGTGCACGCAGCTCTCATCTGCACTGTCCCCTTTGGGCTTCAGGATAACCGTGGAAGGAAGAAAGAGTCCAAAGATAGTAGGCAATCCACCGAAGGTCACCCAGCTAGTTAACTGAGGGAAGCCAGAATTTGCATCCTGACCAGGCTGTTCAATTCCAAAGCCAAAGCTCCTTCCTCCACTGCCCTTCCTGTGGCCGCCCTCTCCCCAGGAGGTCTGTAAGCGGCCTCTTGCCGACCTTGACTCCCAGCCCCTACATCCTGCTCGGTGCCGGGACAGGGTCTCCACACTGC